TTAAAAGTTAATACAAAATTGGTCTGGTAAATGTTAATAAACTAAAAAGAAAGATTTTAAACTGAGTATATTTTGCAGCAATATAGATTTTCCATCAATTTACACATGAAGCAAATGCATATGTATATTAATTATAATAAAGGCATATTAAGATAAAATAAAGGTAAATCATTAATTTTACTACTACAACATGACTTCATACATCATATACAAAAATTAGTAATGAATCTATATATGTTTCCTGTTGCTGTTAAATTGAAAATGGGAAAACCATTTATTATTATTATTATTATTATTATTATTATTATTAATAATAATAATAATAATCTAAGCATTATGTTTGGCAACACAATTTATTTGGCAGGGTATTTCTACAAAGGTACATTTGATGGAAGAGTAATGTTGCAATATTACATTGAAAGGGTACCTGTTTGGGCAAAAACTTAGAATGCCAGCATTAATGGTAAAAAAAAAATATGTTTTGCTTTTGACTGAATATTATATACCTGAATTGATATAAATCTGCTCTAGAGCTAGTGATTAAAATTAAGCTTTAAATCAAATGTTTTATAAAACAGAACAAAATTGTTATTTTGAGAAAAAGAATTACCAGAATTAGGAAATTTTGCAACAGTTCTGCTACATGAATGAAAAAAGCACCCCAAACCAGTCCTTATTTATGAAAATTCATGTTATATCTTAAAAATTAGATGGAGGGAAGTTATACTTTTTCTCCATGATTACACATTGTTCTGTTCTAAATATTCACAAGAAATTACGTATAGTACATTTTTCATATATTTAGTAGATATATATCTATATCTATCTATCTCTCTATCTCTCTATCTCTCTATATCTATCTATCTACCTATCTATCTATCTATCTATCTATCTATCTATCTATCTATCTATCTATCTATCTATCTATCTATCTATCTAATCTGTAATTGAATCCAAACCAATAAAATATCCCTATTTATACCAATGCACACTTTCTAATAGTACTTTATGTGAAAATGCTTCTGCCTGTGTTTATGCATTTTTCCTGAGAACTCACCCTCCTGTTGATCCTTGGAGAATTCGATCTGTTAGGAAAAAATCAATCATATAACAAAATACTTTTTGGAATTCATAGCATCCTGCTTGCTCCACGAAACATCTTTCCAAGATGCAAAGAAAAGGTCAGTTTTTCTCTTACAACACCTGAGATGCCACTAAACTGCTAATGAAGTAATACATCCATAAACCAACGAGCATGCAGCATTTGTTATCACAATATTAAATTGCAATAATATTCAATGACGTTCCACTTACCAGCAATTTGATCGGCACTGAAAGACTGCATTTGGCAACAAGGAGGGGAGGGAAAAAAGAGGGAAATACTAGTATTGTTGGAAAAAATTGCACTGACAGACAAAAACTATACATATCCTATAGCTAATGGCTACATTCAAGAAGTAATAGGCCAAGGATGCGTTCTACTAATGACAAAAGGATCGGTGTTATATCTTTCCATATGTAGTGAGAAACATGGGAAAGCAATATCAATATGGTATGATACATACTACAAATCAAACAAATTGCTACTTTTGAAAGTAGTTTTAGGGAAGTACAAACTTGCACTTATTGTAGCAATAAGTCCCATTTCATTAAATGAGATTTACTTTTGTGCAGACACGCACAGTATCTTTTAGATAAAGATTTATCTTTCAGCTCTATATAAAACAACTTCCTTCTATGATGATTCACTGGGATTCCTACGGACAATAATTTCAATATAGCTGAGTTATTAATAGCAACTTGCTATAAGGTTGTGGGAAATGTGCAAGCTAATGAATGAATCAAGACATAAATCACCCCCAATACATAAATGTAACTGTAGTGTAGACACACTTTGCATGTTACACATCTATCCAGCCTGATTTTTGTTGGGCATTGCCCCGTTAAGAATCCCACTGAATTGGTTTCTGGACTGCCTTATTACAACTAGCACAACCTTGGAAATTATAACGTTACATTAAGTCATTAGCTAAGCAGAACTTGTAAACCCACCATGACTGAGGAAGCTGGAAGGAAAGAGCAGGTGCAGGAGAAGCAAGATTTGGCCGCGAGGCGTCGGAATCCCTGGGAGTGGTCCTTACTCCCTGTCCTTAGGTCTTTTTATTGAACTGAAGACAGTGACATCAGTGGGAGGACTGGGTGCCAAGCTGGAGCAGCCACTCCCCCTTGGAGAGTTCTGTAGCTTTCTTAGGGCAAAGAGAAGGAAGGATCCATTTCTTGATGGACCTCTGGCATACACTATTTTTAGGACGCTGCAGAGAAGATCGGGCGCTGTTCACAGCTTCGTTGGGCTAGAATTTTGTCAGCGTTTTATCACTCCACAGCATAAATGTGGAACACATCTGAAATAGTCTACCTCTTTATTTAAGGGACTATTGAGTAAACAGAAGGGATAATAGATGGGCAGCTTGGTTTGGTTTACTCAAGTTTGAACTGGATATGTTTATTCTGGAGAACTGAAATATTGACCAGGGCTGTAACAGAATTCTTCGATGCCCAAAGGGCTGTGACTTAATAGTTAATTAGATCCCATAGATTAGGCCTCCTCCGAGTTCCATCAGCCGGTCAATGTCGACCGGCAACCACGCGGAGGAGAGCCTTCTCGGTGGCAGCTCCGACTCTATGGAACGAACTCCCCGTGGAGATTCATACCCTCACCACCCTCCAGACCTTCCGCATAGCCCTTAAAACTTGGCTGTCCCGACAGGCCTGGGGCTAAAGACCTTAACCCCACCCGAATTGTATGAATGTTGTGCTTTTAACAATGTATTGTCTTATGTGTTTAACTTGGTTTGTCCTCCCTCCCTTTGAACTGTGAGCCGCCCTGAGTCCCCCCAGGGAAAAGGGCGGCATACAAATAAAATACCTATACCTATACCTATACCTAGTTTTCTGCTGCCTTAGAAGACTGCGGGTAGTTCATTTAAAGGAATGAATATGGGGAACCATGTTTAGAAAGAACATAGAGAAGGAACAGTTTGATAGTGGATAGCCATTTCCTTGATCCAGTGGTGGGATTCAGCCAGTTCGCACTACTTCGGGAGAACCGGTTGGTAACTTTCTGAACAGTTTGGTGAACTGTTGGAAGAAATCATTAGGGCAGAGAACCGGTTGTTAAATTATTTGAATCCCACCACTGCCTTGATGGCTCCTACTCTTCCTCATACTGAAGGCCCTGCCTAAAATGGACTTGAGCTATGTGTGTAGGGCCTTATAAAGACTTCTTCCCTCTCACCCTCATTCCCAAATGGGAAACAGAATGCCAGGGGCCACAAGATTGTACCTGTAGAAACCACAGGAGGTTTCTTGGTGGACAAATCTAAAGACTGGTCGCTGTGGTTGGAGATCGGGGACAAAACCCAGTAGGGTCTCAGGTCTTCTCTTTAGAAACATGAAGTTGAATGCCTGCACTAAATTTGAACACAATAGGAGTAATGCATGCTTATATTATCAATCAAGTGGGATGGAGTGACAAGAGCTAGTATTTGTTCTAGTATGACAAAAAAAATCATGTCAAATGAGGTTTTGTCCAAAATACATTACGGATGGATGCATTTTATTGATGCACAACTTAATTTTAATCATAGGTGAGAAATTTATAGGTGATAGATCTAATCTTTGCAATGGCTTGCTGGATTAGAAAAGCAACATGAGAAAAAATTTGGTTCCTAGTGTTTTAGGCCAGTGTTTCTCAACCTTGGCAACTTGAAGATGTCTGGACTTCAACTCCCAGAATTCCCCAGCCAGCGAATGCTGGCTGGGGAACTCTGGGAGTTGAAGTCCGGACATCTTCAAGTTGCCAAGGTTGAGAAACACTGTTTTAGGCTACATTTGAAGTGATGCAGCAGGAATTGCACAGGTAAACCCACCAGTGGCTGGCCAGGTTAGGTGGTCTTAATAGAATGGACCTTATAAATTCATATTAGCTTGGCTTTTCATTCTAGTGCCCTGGAGTTCCAACTTTGACTTGTAGCTGGAGTGAACCTTCTCCCCAACTTCCTCATAAGGATTACAAATAGGGCTGAACAGTGTGGCAAGACCCTGTAAAGTGGGGGCACAGGAAGTGAGAGATAGAACAGAGGTAAAAGCTGCTGACACGGCATAAAAGTAGGATCCTGGGCAGAGCTCAGTTCAGTTCAGATGAGTTCAGACGCTGAACCCGATGCATCCAATAAACCCGTTTCTCTCACTTTCGTGGTCTCAAGTCCTGCTCTTTCGTAAGTAGATTATAAATCACAATCTGCTACAACAGAAGCACCATGTATAAAGTAACTGAAATCTAATCCTCACTCTAAGCCCTTTTGTTTCAAAAACAGACTTCCCATATATTTATAGGCAAAACAAGAACAGCATTTTGCTCCATCACTCCTACATCCCGTTCCTGTATCTGAATAGATGCATGTGGTGTTAACAGTTGATTAAATATGCATCCTTATTCGTACATAATGCCAAGCTTAGTGATCACCTGTATCAGTGATAAACATAGAGCTAACATTGGTTATATGTTGCATTTATCTCCCTGTATTTTAATCCATTCTTACTCAGGTGTGTCCAAATGCATACAATAGCAGTTAGCAATAGCAGTTAGACTTATATACCGCTTCATAGGGCTTTCAGCCCTCTCTAAGCGGTTTACAGAGTCAGCATATTGCCCCCACAGTCTGGGTCCTCATTTCACCCACCTCGGAAGGATGGAAGGCTGAGTCAACCTTGAGCCGGTGAGATTTGAACCGCCGAACTGCAGATAACAGTCAGCTGAAGTGGCCTGCAGTACTGCACCCTAACCACTGCGCCACTTCGGCTCATACATAATGCTTGGCATTAACTAGGAAACTATAGCATGGCTTACCATGTAATATGAATATGCTTATATTCTTTATATGTATGGGATTCTTTATATGTATCCCCAAGCAATGAAAGAATTGGCTAAATGTACTTAAATTAAAGCTCCCTGTTTTTTTCCTAGAATCAAGCTGTAAACACACCCATTAATGGTGTTTGTGTTAACTATAAAATCAAATATGCAACCTGAGTAATCATTTCCAATTTCTAGACCTAGGTAAGCAAGCCTAAGGGGTATGCCTTCAATTTGGCAAGCTTTGGAGTTCCACAAAATGAAACAGGTTCTTGATGAAGAAACTCAAATCAAACCAAGAGCATAATGACACTTCAAGAGGAGCAATTTAGTGAAAGGTAGGAATTGTATCTGCAGCATCCCTCACACTTTGAATTCTCCAAGATAGTCCTGGGAGGAATATGTTAGGTGATTGACAGATCTATCTTCCTAATCCCCAAAAAGGTGAAAAATTAAACTTTTAAACAGGCAAAGACTCTTTAAAAACTAATTATTAACCAAGTCTATTTATTTTTCTAACACTGATGAGGATTCATTGAGAATTATTGAACCTCCAAACTTCAATCCTTCCCATGAAAACTAAACACACTTTTGATGATTTTCCAAGCTCATCATTAGGAGTCTGAATTGCTTCATTTCCTAAATCTGACACATGTCATGCAAACATTTGGAACTATCAGGTATAATTTAAAGTAAAAGTACAAAGATAAACAGAAACAGCAACAAAGATTGTCAAGTCTGATTTTCTAAGCGGAGTGTCTTTCAGTATAAATATTGTATTTCAAAATAAGATAAGTCCACTCGACTACTTGCCACACTTCCCTTGCAGATTCTGCCACATGGGATTTGGCATATTTTGATGGCTCCAGGTATTCTGCCAGAAGGAAATCAGGGATAGGAACTAGAAGCAGAACATTTCCTTTCTAACAATTTACTTACATTGCTTTTCTCAGTCTTGAAAATTTTAAGAAGCTATCAATTAATAGCTTGTATGTCTAGTACTTAAACATGGAGAGGCAGATCAAGCATTAAAGAAAGCAATTTTCACTAATGTTCCATGGATTAATATTAAAATATTAACTAATAATTTAAAACCTTGCTAAGAATGGATTGAGAAAAAAAAATAAACCTTACCTTAAATAGATTCATTAATTTTTTTTACAAAATCATTTTTGGCTGTCACAGCTAACAGAACGTTAAACAGAAACTGTTTAAAAATAAACCAAAAAGGCCTTTGCTTTCTCTAATGCACAGTGACATAATCATAAAATGTCACATTTATGGAAGAAGGATAGAATGTTCGTCCCTATTCTGGCGAACCCATTTTATATTTCAGTTCTCATTTTTATTCTATCACGAGTTAATGAATTCAGCAAAAAAAAATTGCTATTAATGAATGGGTGAGGAGAAATTCTGCGCCAAGCAAATAACAGTTTACCAAGTTTTTTACTTGTTGGGTCACAGGAGATGATCTCCACTATATGAAAGAAAGAAAGAAGGAAAGAAAGAAAGAAAGAAAGAAAGAAAGAAAGAAGGAAGGAAG